CTACCCGATCGCCTATGCATCTGCCTGCGCAAATTTACATTATACGAAGTTATACGAGGTACCCGAGGCCATGGTTTGCGATGGTGACGGAGGAGAAGTGGTTTTTGAAAGTTTTCGAAGGGAGCTTTGGATATGAAAGTTGAGGTGTCGTGCTACAGCGGGAGAGATGGGAGAGGTCGTATGAGGGATGACCTCCCCTCAAGGCTGAAGGTAATGTTGAGGGATCGTGTCCAGACCCCTCTAAGGAGGGGGGGGGGGAAGGAGTTGTAATTCTTGGAATCAAAACAACGAAGAAGAACGACCCTGCCCTGTGCTGCTAGAAGGCCGTATCCTTCCGAATTTTGGCTAAGCATTTCAATGGGTAGGTGAAGGTGCTTTCACCTCCATGTATTTCATATCTTTTCAATGAACCTTAGCTGTTTCTAGACTTCTTCGTGGAAATTATACGCGCTTAAAATCGATATTCATTTTATGTACGGATGCTTCCTACAGAGAGGGCGCCTCCCATCAGCTTGCAGGTCATGTATCTGTAGTTGAATAAATCACTCAATTGTGAATTATGTACTGAAGTATTTCAGTGATTGATCCCTTTAGGATGCGCCATGCACTCGAGCCACCTTCAATTCGTAATTGTGGGTATTCCTGCTTGTCATTGTGGTGCTTAGTGTGACAAACACATTGATGGATAGTGACAAGCGGAAAGAGACAGCGAAGATCATGAACGAAGAGTGATGAGTTAGATGACTGAAGATGACAGGGAACAGTGGTATTCATGGGGTGATAAGGTTATGCTGACAGGGTTCCAAACGATACCTAAGCCAGTTATGGACCTAAAATCAGTTACGTTTGCTAGGATGGCAATGAAAATGTTATGGCAAGGGTATGAGAGAATGATCAATCGCTTTTGGGATGCACGGTGCAGCCATTCAAAAAAGTTATACTACGTTTTATATGAAATAAGAACTGGGCCCTCCATTACCACTCAGGTGAGGCAAGTAATCGTCAAACGATTCAGAACTCGTGTTTATGTGTGCATAAAAAGGCTATCAATATGACTTGTTTTATTTCATTTTACTTCATATTATGAAAACCTACCTAATTCGAATCAACTTCGAATTATGAAGTTAACTGACTTAATTTGAAAATTTTCTTTTTTTCCTATGTTAGTAATTTTGTTCGGTTTGTTTATTCCTTCTCAATTTTATTAGGTTCGCTTTCAAGCCATCTTTCTTGTTGTTGCATGCCTTTGCCTAGAATCCGCCCCCATTTAATCGTCTCTACAACTTTGACAGCGAATTCATCCGTGGCAACTTCAGCTAGATTTGCTAAGGCGTATACAGGGGGAGGGCCAAATAAGTTTTACCCCCCCCCGCTTACACATCAGACGGCATAATATGCACTTTGGGCAATGTTACCACTGCTATCAAAAAAACTTCACAAACCCGTTCTACACCAAATTTTCGGAAGCATTTTTTAACAGGAACTGCGTACAGCGGTTGGAACTTCAGCGGCAGTTTCGCTGAACTGTAGGTAATTAAAGATATCTAAAAGCTGGTGAAAGTGGCCTTACATGCAAAGCAAACGCTACGGCCTTTAGAAAGTCATCCACCAGTGAACCATTGAAGAAACTGCGCAGCAACTTCGTTTGGAGCGATTACGATAGGCCTCCTTGAGCCTGACCGAGATGGCAGATCACGTCATATTCTGAAGACGGTGAGAGCAGTGAGGGAGGGCGTGCTCCTGCCCGCGAGGGAAGTGCAAAGAGAATATTTTGCATGACTTCTCTTCTGGTGCACCCTATGCCGAAGGACATCTTGGCTGATTTGAGCCATGGGCAGACTGACTTTTTGCCTCCCTGTATTACTACCTTTAGATTGATATCTGCACTGCTCCTTGTGAGAGGAGGTAGCGCAGCATTTAAGGGTTCTGCGCCCTGAACAGTCCATCCAAATCATCTTCCGTGTGAACCCGCAAGAAGGACTAAAACCTGACTCGAACATTAGGTGCACTTCGAGAAGTCACCGTATGGGCAAAATACGAACTTATTGAAGATTTTTCGTTGAAGTCGAATGCTTGGCACATCTTGGCGTTTATATTTGAACGCTCTCTGTTTTGTGTACTCTAGGCGCTTTACCAGTTTAAAACCCTCTATCGTTTCCCAACATTAATCACTCCTTCTGGACTCTCTGATGGATGTGAATGACCACTAAAGGTCAATCACAAGCACTCTGTTGCAATATTACACTAGAACATGTCCTTCTGACAAGATATTTGATCGTTTGTAATACCGTTTCGAAGTTGCAGTATTACACTAGAACATGTCCTTCTGACAAGATTTTTGATCGTTTGTAATTCCGTTTCGAAGTGGCAGTACCTCTAGCCATTTCCTTTCTTCCAGTTATAGCCCCTCTTCAAAATGCGATACTACTGCGGTAGTTTCTTCAGAACCACAAAGTGTTCAGAATAGACCAGTCTTTCGCCTCAGAAACTGGTTCCATTTTAGGCTGTCGATGATTAAGACCAGTGCGGTAGGTCGAGGCTGTCAGAGCGACACAAGAATTCACATTTTCCATAAATACCCCACCAAGAGCAGACCGCTACGTGACTATTGCCCATTTTTGGCACCATCTACAACTATCGTATATAAGTTTAAATTGTGCAACATCAGGTTGGCTACCCATTTATGGTAAATCAACCCTTGATCTTCTACGCTCAACGCAGGGTCGTCCGAATCAACCCGCGAGTGACGTCACTGAACGGATGAATTACTCTCTGGTTTCTCTGCGCCCCCGCCTCCACTCTGCGTCTCTGGCTCTCGCAGAAGAAATCCCCGCTCCTGTTCGGGACGCGACTCGTGCTTTGCGATCATTACATTCTTCTTTTTCTGGTTCTTCTGGATCGAACTTGATTAAGCGGCTCGTGTGAGGTCATTCTCAACTCGAAGTACCCAATAAGCCGGTGAAGAACGTCGGCAAGTGCTGTTTTCTAAAGACTCAGGTGGAACCAGCTGTCTACGTTTTTCGGCTTTATTGATGAGCACAAATGGTTTGGAGTGCTTGATTGTCTCATAAGAGGGTTCAACTCGTGGAAATAATGAGCGCCTATCTTTTCCATTCATGATTTCTTTCACTGTAGCGCAGTCCATTATTTCCTTTGAAGTATATTTATACTCGCTTCATTTCGTTGAAAGATTGGTTGCTGTTTCGACGAATGACATTTTGTTTTCAGATGGGCGACATGAGCGAACACGAGGAGTGGATGGAGGAGCCGGCTCGGCTTACGCGCTTTTTCCTACCCGACTGATCATTCCGCTGGACTCGGAACATAGAACAAGGCATTCGATCTCTGTTTTTGCTTCCTGCCCGCTTCAAGGCCTAAGTGAAATGTGCTGTTACATCAAAATTTCATTGGTTCCTTTGAAAATAAGGAGAACCCGGACCAAATTATTCCTTATTAGAGTTGGTAAAGTTAGTTTTCATTGTAGAGTGCATACCGTAAGTTTTACGCACTCCTTGAACTTGATTTAATGGTACGCCACGAGTAGCTAGGGTACAGACGATTAGAAATGACGCCTAGTCAGCTCCAAGGGCTACTAAGGAGGAAGGTGAGAGCCCTAAGGGGGTGGGGGGGGTGGGTCATGATCAAAGTAGTCCGAGCTTGGGCCGATTATAAGATTATGCGCTACAGTTGTTGCTAATAACTTAGTTTGGTTGAATTTAATTTTTGCTCTCACTACTAGTCCAAGAAGCTTGGTTGTATTTCAGCACTCTTCCGTCAAAGGTCTTGCGCCGCTAAATGAGTGTGGTGAAATAATTAAATGTTTTAAGATCTAGAATAAAAAAATGAATCAACGAAGTTCTCTATTCTTGTACACACCTTTACATATCAGAAAACATTGTTGAAGGAGAAACGGACTCCCATTCGCTTTTTTTTCTGAGAGAAAACTCGCCCCATTAATTGTCTCATCATTCCATCTTATTGAAGAACGGCGGAAAGGGGTGGGAGAGTTTAGAAAATTTGTATGGTCATAGTCAATGTGTACTAATAGTCCTATTGATAATGAATACTTGTTCTTATCGTTCAAAACATGATGAATAGTGGTCCCATCTTCTGCACTTTGATCGCCGGAAGAAAGCATTAATCACCACGTCCCTGTTTTTGTTGTGAGAAAAGTGGTGTTCGGGCTGTAGGTCATTTTCCACAAAGCTTCAAAGAGGATGCCGACACTAGATGAGCTTCAGTCGACATTTTCTAACAAATTTCATGATGTTGTATAACCCCAGCAGAAAGTTTGACTTTGCTCACCAAACTTCTTTATCCAATTGTGGCCGCTGAACGCTTCTTTTTTCCTTGTTTTGCATGGGACCACATTGCAATGGCTCGGTGGGAGCTTTTTTTATAAGAATGCCCTTTCGAGTGAAGTTATCCTAAACCGTTTTCGCAGGATTGCCTTCAGTTTCAGCGTTCAGGGTTTGCGTTTTCGTAACTTTTAGACTTTTCGCTTCCTTCCTTTACTCCATGTTTGTGATTTATTCACTATTTCAGTAAGGGAGAGAGTTTTTTTTATGTAACTTTTCGTTCACACGTCAAATAAGTTAAAGAATCTGGTGGTATTAATTGACAAAGAATTGTCGTAATTTCCAAAGCAAGTGTTTTTTTTAAAGAGTCAGTGCGGAAATGCTTCGAACCCGGAGGTGGTTTTCAGAAAAAGCTCTGACCGCTTTACATTTTCCGCCTAGGCCGATGTCAGACTTTGCGAATCGCGCGATTCGCTAGCGTCCGCGGTCGCGTTGCGGTACCAGCCAATTGAGTGATTCACTGGCCGCGACGCGACCGCAGACGCTAGCGAATCGCGCGATTCGCAAAGTCTGACATCGGCCTGATGTTTTCATGCTGTGAGCGAATCCTCTCTCATTAACGTTAACAAACCTCTTCAATTGGTGAGAGGCACCGATAATGTGCCTTAACATTGCTTGGTGGCAGTAATAGGAAAGTATTTTAAGGGTTCTCGATCTCAAAATGCGAGCCCAGTTCTTGGATCACAAGGACCAGCTCCAGCAGGCTCCTCATACAGCTCCGGCCCACCTAAGCGCCTCTTTGCTGGTAGGCCTTTTCCAGTTTTTTTTTTCGCTCAAGGCGCCGTTCTCTTTCCATGAACCAGCTCATTTAAGGCTCATCCAATTCGTCCGGTGGGGTATCCTCGAATGCGAACGCCTCATCGGGCTCAACTACGGGTGCCAACCAACGTGGAGCGACGACATCAGACTGCGGCTCTGAGTACACTCGCTCACTTGATGACATTGCTAATAATAGCCTTGCGCGGTTAGGTAGGTAAAGTTCTTCTATGGATCAATAGTGAGGTTAGCTGTTCAAATGTGCCATTCCTCACAGTGAAAACGAGTCTTGCAAGGAATTGATGTCAAGTTTCCCTGGAGAACAGGGCAGACTTTTGAGAAGTTCATTGACGATTAATAGCTCCTTAGAGATTTTCGAAGGCAAAGGGGCGATTTTTCCTAGCCTCATTCTAGATATTATACTAACAAGAATAGGGCTGTAATTTTCGGACTGATTGGATTATCTTCACTTCCTCTTCCTTCGTACTGTTTTTTTACTGTGATTTTTTTTGCCATTTTTCTTTTTTGAAGTGCTCTCGATGATACTTCTCCCAGGATTGGCCAGTGTGACTGTGCGGGCATTGCTTTGAGTCGAAAGTTTGTTATAATCCGTTGTCGGTTAGGCGGTTAGAAAAGTTTTGTGTAGAGCGATTCACTATTGGTGAAAGTAATTTTTTGGCTGTTCTCATTTGAGCGATGTGATTCATGAATTTTGTCTTATGAGTCTTTTTTCACTGACCGTTTTCCTCATCGTCAGTAGCGCCCATTATTAGTATTGCGATCTCATTCCATCTCTTAACGTCTCGGCTTCTCACTCCTGAACACCGTCATCGTCCGTTCTTCAACTGTCTCTTTCATCATTCATTGCGATTGTTTTGCCAAGGACTCAGGTTTCATGCGTTGCGAGAACAACTAGTACTTTCGAAGTTTTCAAAAGTCGGGAATCGATTGACTGTGCTCAATAGGGTGAATCAGCTGCAGCTTGTATAGTGACTTTTTGTTCCTCGTTGAATGGGAATTCTATGTCGATCATGTCGATTGTGTGATTGATTATTTTCTATTATTTCAGAGAGTAAAACCGAAGGCTCAATCAAGTTGAACATACCTAACCTATCCAATTTACGAGCAAAGGTTAACACATCATTTCACCACATCGCGAATTTGCCATGGTTCGTTCCTTTATCGTTATGCTAGGTTTAACATAAGTCGTTTTCCACTCCCTTCTAATCCTTCTAACTTTACAAGAAAAAACGGGCACTTTGTATACGCAAGAGTGGTAGTTTCCATTACCACTTACGAAAGTTGGCGCTCATGTCCTGGGGGGGGGGGGGGACATCCAAGTGAGTGAGCCAATTACTGTGCTTGGACTAAGCCTAGGGAGGGGAAGGGATCCTGGGGGAGCATGTGAGCAATTTGTGTTCTCCCTGGCGTTTCTCCCCTTTGCTGGGCTTAGTCCTAGTCTCACCTACCATCGGCTCTGTTTTGAATGTACCCCTCCCCCTCCTCCCCCAAGGACATGAGCACACGAAAGTTTTTTGATGTCGACAAAAAAGTCTCCTTTTCGAAGGAAGCCCTCGAACTAAGTTGAGAGTTACTAAAATACTAAAAGTGGTGGAAGCTGATAGATTGCCCATCGAAGGTTGTTCGCTCTTTGCCTCCGTGTGCATTGGACTGCTGAGCGACAGTTTCCCCCTTTATACGGCAGTAAAAATGTCAGTCATTTCAGTGACACAGAATTTGGTGTTGGAAAGGAGTAGATCTAGTTTGTATTACTTTTCCCGTTCGATTTTGTCCTAGTGCAAACATTTACCAAGTTGAAACTCATAAGGTTATGCTGCGGGTTTGCAGTTGCTGCATAGATAATGGTTGAGAACACAAGCATGTTATTCAAAGGTACCCCGAAAAATTCTATAACATTACTAAATGTGTAGCCCATAACGAACGATAATCTAGGATTTGCAAACAAAATGTCCATTAGGAACAGGTTGCAGTTCTTAATGATACTGACGGACTTTAAAAACATTGAGTACCGCGTGATGCCTTTTGCTATTGTTCTGATGTTTTTATTTGAATTCTTTACTGGTTCTAGATCCAACTCTTCTTTTAGGCGTTTGGCTGCAAAAACGGAGTGCACCAAGCGAACATCGCACGTGAAGTTTTTCTCCGTGTACATCGACTGCAATCCGGAAAGTGAAAGCACATTATGGTCCTGTGACGCAATCGTCGAATTCCGTCTGCTCTCACAACGTCCCGATGTGCCGCATTTTTCGCGACAGGTGGTTTTTTATTCCACTCAGTGACGGCTGAATTTGACCAGACGCACAAAGCGGCGACACCGAGGCATTGCGTGACTTGCGCGCTTTCCTGTTTTATTAGCTCCACTCGAAAATGCATGCCAGGCTAGCAATGACATCTATTCGATGGTTCACATTTCTCATTCTCGGCTGCAGCAAGGCTACGCATAAATCCTCTTTTAGAGCTGTTCACTAGCTTCGATTCCTTCCTTATTCTTTACTATTCCAAGCTAATAGTTGTTTCTATTCCAGTTCACAAATAAGTTCAACTTCAATTCGAATAACTGGGGATTTCCATCGTTCATGGAGTGGGGAGATATTCTCAATGTCGACAAGGGATACGTGAAAGGTGATCGCGTAGTGGTCGAGGCTCGGATAACCGTACAGAAAGTCGTTGGAGTGAGGTGAGTACTTCCAGACGGTTAATCCAATTTTAACTTTATGGTTCGATAGTAACAAATACAAAATACGGGCGCTATCGCAGGGTACGGAGCTACGTCCTAGGATTGAGCCTAGAAGGGAGCAGGAACTCCGCTGAAGGTAAAAATTGCGCCCAATCCACGCTCCTTGCCGCACATTTCACCCTCCCTCTCCTGAAGCTTAATCCTGCTTAAATTACCAATGTCGTTCGACGCGATTTTGAATGAGTTGCGTTGCAATGCCCCTTCTCTTGCGACAACACCCGAAATATGATCTTTTGAAATACCTATGGCTTGAGATTATGTCGTAATTCATATCAATTCTTTGAGTTCGATTCAAAATGAAAGGTGTCAGTTTTCTACTGCACGAATTTAGCTAGTAGGCAAGTCAAGCATTATAAATAATGAGAGTATTTTACCGTTCAGTTCGTTGCAAAAGAAACGTTTTATTCAACAAAGATAGTGTGCTTATTATAAACTTCTGAAAGACACACCTTCTTCGCTCTAGGGACGACGTAGGCCGATAGTAAGGTGGAGCAAAGGCATCGAGATAGCTTTTTTCTCCAGATTTCTGCAATGTTTCTTTTAGGAAAAATCCTCACTTCGATTTTCTGTCTCAAGAACCTCACACCTCTGATGCTGTACTTGTCATTGATGGCGTTAAATTGCACGTTAGCAAGACGGTGAGTGGTTAATCATTCATTCGTCTTACCTTCGACTGGAAGCCAAATAATAGTGAATGATCAAGTTCAGAGTCCGTTAGTCCCTGGGTTTCATTGTGTGATAAACTTTTTTCGGGTCACATACGAAAACCTCAAAAGACGAAGACTTTTATGAGTTTTACCCCAAACCCTCCCAGTTTTAGAGACCCCGTTTTTCGCCACATCAATTTCAAACGCAGCGGGTTTTCCTTAGTGAAGCACATATCGAATTAGCATCAATAAGTGAGCAATTATTGAGGGAGAGCTGGGCTAGGGAAGCAGGTTGGTGCCGAAAGTCTCACTCGCGAGTCGTAGATGTTGTGTAATGGACGTGGAAAGGAAGGGAGTAGGTGATAAGAACCCACTTCTCGAGCCAATGCCGTGCCGACCAACACCGACGTTGCCCCTTGGGTTCGCATTGTCCCGATCGTGGGAGCATCTAGGCAACGGCTCAAAATGCTCGTATAGCTATGGGGATAGGAAAAAAGTGCCTTGTGAGGAGAAAGTGGGCGCTTTTTTTCAAAATGCTCTAACATGAGCGCTTTCCGGAATCACAACAGCTGTGAAGTCAACCCTTTTCGACACCATTCTGTTTGCCACACGCAAAAGGGCTCAATGAAAGTGACGATCCGTGTAATCTACTGCAACTTTCGTGGAAAGGAAGGCAAAGAAGTCCTTAGTAATATGAAGGCGGAATTCCTGATCTAATATTAGGGGAGATCTGCAGACGAACACAGAGGTAATCGCTAGTGATGTGACAAAGTGAAAGTTACGTGACAGAGGCTGACTTGCATTGCAAGGTATCAAATACTTTTATCCTTATCCTTTGCATCGCTCTTCTGACAGCCCCATTCCTGTCCGAGTTGGCGGCTAGAAAGGTGAATTTCACTCACGTATTCCCTTCTGTCCACCCGGACCCTTTGCAGCCATTCGCTAGATTACCGGGATGAACCTGCTGCCTTTACCCAGTTCTTACTTAACAACTACTCAGGTGTGGACGCGAATTCGATTTCCATTGCTTCATAAGTTGTTTCATATAGTGTAACCAGATTGGTCCCCCGTCAACCGCCGGGACCTTCCTTCCTGCGCAAGCTTTACGTTCCGCTGTGGTCCCTTCCACTGTGACACCAACACCTCGTGGAGGTGACGCGTATGCAACAAAAAGGAGTTTCATATGTTAGACTGCATCGCCATAAGAGCTACGTCACACTCGGCGACGGACAAGCGATGGAGCGATCGCGATCGCTCCATCGCTTGTCCGTCGCCGAGTGTGACGAGGTCTGATCGTGACATGACGGTAGAATGACACACCAATACCTAAGTGCACCATGGGTCTCTTGGTGATTGGTTTTCCGCCTCTCCATCCTCCCTTCCTCTCCTCCACTGCCCTCCAGCTGCCACTGCAGCACCATGTGGAATGAACCGGAAGTGTGCTAAGCAGGTGTTTATATAGCCCTAAGAGTGTTATCACAACTATCCTGCTACAAAACATTGATATCTCAAATCCTGTAAGCTACCCGATTCTGTTAGCGGTTTGTTTATTCCTTATTTGTTTAGTTCCTTGTTGTTTAGCTTCCTTATCAGACACTTCATTTTGCGGACGGACATACAGTAGCGGTCAAAAGTTTGGAAACTTTTTTATTTTTGATCTAGCGTAGCCAATAGACAATGAAATTGCCCCGAATTCACATATTATATTCAGAATCAAGTGTAGATTACGATGGGTAACATGATTTTTTGAAAACTGAAATCGCATTTGAAAAATACGAATTTTTATAAGAAATGGCGCGTCAAAAGTTTGGAAACTTCCGAATTCCAAAGCGAATTCGGCAAAATAGCTCTCAAATCCACATGATAAATTAGTTATTCGATGAGTAGCTTTGAATTTCTATGTTAGCGTCGTTTTTATTGACATGGAGTTGATTATAAAATAATTTTAGGACTTTTAAGTCGAACCCTACACACTGTGAACTAAATCACATTGTTTGGTGGGATTCTTAACTGGAATGTGGGTAGAGCGACATGCCACTTTTTCCGTGGGATGCCATACATTATAC